GTTCTTATCAGTGATCAATTCATATACACATATACACAAGAGGCTTAAGTCTAGAACATGGTTTGTAGGGTAGCAGGAAGACAAGTACATTCACTCCCACTCGTAAACACACAGGGTGACAGCTTGGAAGATCACTCGAACGTCCTCCGTGCCCGCTACAAGCAGGTGTCTAGCTCATCACACTATACTGAAGCTTTCCAAAGATATAAAGCAAGGATAGAAAAGCAGAAACTAGAACACAAGTGTACAAAACACGAGGAATACAATCAATCGTTCAGCTTAGCTGAGCTACAAACATCACTAAACTCTTGCAGTAATTCTGCCCCAGGCTACGACCGTGTCATGTATGAAATGATGAAAAACTTGCCGCTCAAAACGTGAAATACATTACTCTCCCTATACAATGCGATCTGGCTTTCTGGCACCATCTCTACTTCCTGGAAAGAGGATATAATTATTCCCATATTAAAAAAGGGCAAGGACCCTTCCTCAGTTTCGAGTTATAGGCCCATTGCATTTACAAGCTGCCTTTGTAAACTTTTTGAAAAGATGATGCCGGCTGGTCGTTTTTGAAAAGATGATGCCGGCTTTTACACTTCCTTGAAATACACAATCTGCTCGAACGATTCCAGTGTGGGTTTTGAGAGGGAAGATCCAGCACTGGCTATCTGGTGTGTATCGAGGCAGAAATCCGAGATGCTTTCGCCCACAAACAATACTTCCTCTCTGTGTTCCTCAATATCCAGAAGGCCTATGACACAACATGGCATTTTGGCATATTAAGAGACTTGTCTCACTTGGGTGTGCACGGCAAAATGTTTTCCATAATCGACTTACTTGTCCAGTTGGACATTCCGTGTCCGTGTGGGCAGTGTTCTCTCCCAAACTTTTGTCCAAGAAACGGTAGTACGGCAAGGCGGTGTTCTTATTTATACACTTTTATTATCAAAATGAATTCCTTGCACCTGTCCATCCCCCGCAATATGTTCTATTGCACATATGTCGACGACGTTCAGCTTGGCTTCAGGTCATGCAACCTGGCAATATGCGAGCAGCAGGTTCAGCTAGGTTTAAACAAGGACTCCAAATGGGCAGAGCAAAACGGATTCTGACTGAACCCAGAAAAAAGTATGTGTGTCTTGTTCTCCTGAAAGAGAAGCATGCACTCAGAACCTGACATTCAACTGAACGGTCAACGTCTGTCTGTCAAAGCCGAGCATAAATTCTTAGGTCTAATCTTGGACAACAAGTTGACCTTCATACCGTACATTAAGTATCTAAAAAACAAGTGCATCAGAGCCATGAATGTTCTAAATGTGTTGTCACGCACTACATCGGGGAGTGACAAGAAGTGTCTGATGAACTCTGATAGAAACTCGTACGCACTCGCTTGGATTATGGAGCAATAACCTATCAGTCTGCGACACCTACCGCCCTAAAGATGCTTGACCCTATTCATCACCTAGGCATTTGCCTCACGACGGGTGCCTTTTGCACCAGCCCCATTGAAAGCCTGTACGTGGAATCAAACGAATGGTCCCTCCACCTACAGAGATGCTACATGTCTTTTCTATATTATCTCAAAGTGAAAGCAGGCAAGGACCACCTTTCACATTTCACTATTGATGACATGTCTACTTCTGTTCTCTTTGAAAACCGTCCATCTTTGAGACAACCCTATTCACTTCGTGTGAGGGGCCTTTCTGAGAAAACTGGTGTGTCACTCAAATATCGTCTGATGGCTCCCGCAGCATGTCTTCCACCATGGCAGTGGCATTTCATAGATTGTGATGTGTTTTTTATAGAGATTACAAAGCACGCACCCATTGCACATATCCGCACATACTCCTTAGAACTACAACAAAAGTACACATGCCCTGAGTTCTTTACAGACACCTCAAAGTCCAATACTTCTGTTTCGTACGCAGCCGTTCGCCCATCCTTTTCGGAAGCCGGCGTTTTGCACCCTGATACAAGCATTTTGACCGGCGAAGCTTATGTGATCCTTGCGGCTGTCAAACACATTGCACATAGAAAACTACAAAAACGGTAATTTACACGGATTCTCAGAGTGTGGTGAAAGCCTTGAAAACACTTAAACAACACAAAAACCCTGTTTTTGTCTTTCATTATTCATTGCTATACACAGTATACTTATCCAAGCAGCATGTTGTAGTCTGCTGGGTGCCGGGGCACCGTGAGATAAAGGGAAATGTTTTGGTAGACCAGCTGGCTGCATCCACCATTAATGATGCCGCTAATGCATCAATACCAATCCCTGCACTTGACATGAAATCTTTTCTAAAACAAAAGCTCAGAGGTTATTGGCAAAAAACGTGGGATAGACACATAAGTAATAAACTACATGTTATTAAGCCACAGCTTGGTCATTGGCTGCCACTATCAAGATTGCGACACACAGAAGTAACACTCACAAGGCTAAGGACAGGACATACATGCTCTACACATTCATATCTTCTGTCTGCCAGTGATCCACCATTGTGTGAGAGATGTGGAGAACGACTTGCGGTTCTTCATTCTCGTCCAGTGCAATGAGTTAGATTCTCTAAGAAATAAGCACTTTTTACTGCCCTACCGACAGCAGCTCCCATTGCACCCTGGGATGCTTATCGATAGGTATCCGACTTTTAAAATTCACTCATTTTTACATCTTTAAAAGATATACGTAATTTTCACTGCATATTTCAAGGTGATCAGTAGCACGACCTCTGTACCGAGGCCGCTGCTGCGGTATTACATCTCCACCATGGTTTTATTATGATCTTTAGACATCCCCTTTCACTGCACATATTTCACGCAACTGTCATCATTTTAATATTTATGTTTTTACCCGTGGTAGCGCGAGGAATTTTAAGGCCCCTCTACAGCCATGCACCATATTATTGTTCACATCTCTAATCACTGAAATTGCGCTTTTTGGCCATCAATTGGCCCTTGTGCCATAAAGCACCATACATCATCATCATTATCAATCTTTATGCTGGAAGAAGTGGGGTTGTCATTTTCTGTGGTTTCAAGTGTTATTTCAGGTCCTTGAAAAGTACCTCTTTGGTCCTTTAAAGTCATTGAATTTTGTTTCACTCGGGTGCTATGAACCCTGTAAGTCAACCCATCGTTATAACCAATATATCGTTACATGTGGTATCGTTATAAGTAGACTGCATTGTGTTAACAAGTTTACAGCAAGTATCCTAAGCATTTCTAATGGGATGCGGCTTCTCCAACCTGGCTCATAACATCCTACACAAGACACCAAACAGACCCGTCTAGCCCACAACGTATCCACTTGCTCTGGACTCCTGGTCATGCCTCCATGCGGGGTAATGATCGCACTGACGCGGTCGTTCGAGAACTTACCCACCAAGCTGCCCAGCATGGCGAGGCTGGGAGTTCATATCAAGTGGGCCCTCCACTCGCATTTCAAGACATAGTGACATACTACACCACAGCTAGGTTGCACCATGCTGCCGCCACCTACTTTCATTCTTTCTGGAGTAACAGGTGGCACTCCACCAACTCCAAACATATACCTTTCCCAACCTCCTCTGCATGCATAAATTCTGCCCTGACCACTACGCATACTCTTGCCCGAGATGTGGCCACTCACCAACAGTATTTCACGTCATGATGGAATGTGCCGCAAAAATATTTCCTCCCCTTCCCACTATGCTGCTCCGCTTCCGCACTAAAGAGCTGTGGGAGGATGCCCTCTGAGAAGGGCCTCCCGAAGTGCGCTAGGCCTTGGTTCAATTGGCCAGGGTGGTCGCCGAGATCATCATAGGGAGCCCGGACTATAGCGTTCCCTCCCACGTGCTTTGTTTTTATATGTTTAATAGAATGTTCTCTCTCTTATTTCTCATCCGTGTGTGTTAGTGCTCTGTCATATCTATTTTGAAGCAATGACATGCCCCTTTTGCATTGCCCCACACACAGAGGCAACGCTCGACCACCTTTTGGGAACCTGTTCAAGCCTTCACGAGGCTCCCCTCGCCACCTCCACGGTCCTGACTTAAGGATCTGGACGCATCGTCTTTTGCATTGACCGCTCTTGGCCTTTATGAGAAATAGAACTCTCTTTTTATTTAAATTATGCCATTGAGAACACTGGCACCAATTAAAAAAATGTTAATCCTATATTTTAATCATAAGCAGTGTACAAATCTGAAGGCCCACATACTGCAAGTATGATTGACAAAAGGTATCATCGCATTAGTGTCTTCCAACCTTACAGGTGCCTGGCTGAAAGACATTTTTAAAGACGATAGTCTTTCTTGGAGACCTTTGACGGAAAAATTTTGATCTGTCTGTCTGTCTGTCTGTCTGTCTGTCTGTCTGTCTGTCTGTACATTTGTCTGTTTGTCCATCCTTAACGATACCTCAAACGGTTGACCTCATCCGCAGCGCCCACCAGTATTGTTCAAGATTCAGCGTTCATACTTGTGCGATTGTCAATTAAAAAGCAATCATTGCGCATATCAGAGGTACATAACAACACGTCGATGTTTTGTATGTGTGCCTTCATACTAGAGAAGGCACACACAAGTAATTCTAAGGACCGTAGCGTTTATCACGCTGCGCTGAAAATGCAGCGCTTGCACGAAAAGGCAAGCGTTCCCAATGCTTTGATCAGACGACACGGTGGTGGCACCTTCCCGTCGCTTTGCGTTCTACACCTTATCGCCTCCGAGAATGGCAGGCATCTTTCTCCGCAGGCACGCATGCCTTCCTTCATTTTCGAAGATAACTGGCAGATGGCGCTCGCGTCTAATGTGCCTCGATGCGCTGGTTCGCCTCTGCTGCATGCTCGAGGCACTCTAATGCAGCGCCTCCAGAATACCTTTCACCTATTTTCTTGCGCAGAACATCAAATAAATGTTTTGTTCCCTCTCTCCAGACGCAAGACTATCGTCTTTCGGGGGCATTTGCAATGTACCATGCAGATCCGCGGCCAATTTTTTTCACAGTTTTTTTTTTTACAGGGCCGGTCTCCAGCCTGGTGACATCATTGTGAAGATTGGAAATACAGAAGTGAAATCTTCTCAGGATGTTTACAAAGCACTTGAAGTCTGGAAACCACTTGATATTGAAGTAATACACAGAGGCACCCGAAAGAAGCTCAAAGTTCAACCTTGAGCGGCATAGCACAAGCAAATAAATTTATGCTTCATGTTCTTGGTTGTCTAGCTAGTGCCATAAGTGTCTGCTTGAAGGTGTCTGCTTGAAGTGTGAAAATGGTCAGAACGGATTTTTAGTAAAGCTGTTGTTTAGGCCTGTTTGGACCTTTAGGCTCAGATCTGTCCTCAATGTGCCACGATCACTGTGAATTCATTTATGAAGAACTTAATTACCGTTGAAATGTAGTTTTGATAATACTATACTGACTCAGGTGAGATTATATTTGCTTCTTCAACTATGCGAATCAAAAAAAAAAAACACGCCAACATTGAGGGTTCTTAACAAACCTTTCAGAGCAGCTGAGTGCTGCCGTAGGTGTGTGGCTGTCAGCGGTATAAGTCCATATGAAAGAGCCAACTGCGAGGGCAGGTTGATGTTGATTGTCAGACATCAGGACGTTTCACAAGGAAGCTGAGCGGAGACCACATGCTCGTTAATCAGTGATGGTGCACCTTCACCTCTCTACATCGCCAGTCATTTTTTATTCGTTTAGTTTTCGTGCATTTTTCATTTTTTGCAATTTAATCCAAAATGCATCCGTCTAGTGTGATACTCAAAGGCACGCGCATTTTGCCTATTTATGTTAGTAGATATGAAAATAAAATATAGCTCTGGCCTGCACAAAGTTCTCAATTTAATGTCCTGCGTTGCAGCATGACCTATTTGCTTCGAGTGCAGATATCTCTAATCACTGATATCCCGAGTTAATTAAAAAAGTTCTTAAAATGTGATTTCTGTAAGTGCTTGATTGTATGCGCACAATAAATAAAAGCTCAAATAGATCGGGAATAACGCTTTTATTTGTCTGAAATTCATAAACTATGCGCGAATGTACACATGTAAAAACTAAGGTCACCTACTCGTCCCCCCACCCCGTTCATAAAAGGAGCCTTGAGCCCTGAGCGTAGGTAACCAGAGGTTGGCCGGACCAAGCTGTCCTCACATTTTATAAGCAAAACTTGTGTTCTTCCAATATTATTATGCTTCCTATTAATATATCTGTGCCATTTTGCCACCTCCCCAGACCCGTAAGAAAAAAAAAAAAAGAAAACAGGGTGATTATCTGGCTCCAAAGGCGTCGTTCCAAGCTAGTCGAACAGTTCCTCCTGTACCTCACCGTCCGAGCTGTAGCGGTCTTCATCTCGCTCTGTGGCCGCACCATTGCTAGCAGTGACACACCTCGCGAGTAGTGACATCTGCTGAAGACTGCGACGTTCATCCGAGCTCCAACCTACGAGTCTCAAAACTTCAGCGTCCACGTAGTCGGAGACCGCGACTCCAGGCACAGCCATCTGGAGCTCCTGCAAGCAACGTCTCGCCGCGGCGTAGTCCTTTCCATTCACGTAGTGCTGCACGAGGAAAGCAAATAAGTCTCTCTTGCGCACTGCCGGCTCTAGATTGAGCTTGGTCATATCTTCGCACTGAGCCACCGCTTCGAGCGGACTGTCCGTGTACAGTTCCTGCACGGCGAGAAACTTTCGAATGGCATCTATGTGGCTCCTGATCCTCGCCGCCGCCTTGGACGTGTCGCCGCCCAACTGAAGACACTCGTGTGCTTTGTTCAGGGCCGCCAAGGCCTTCTCGTAGTCCCGACGTTCTTCGATCTCCACTTGAGCGCAGGACTCGTAGAAGCCGGCCAGCAGATCGAAGGCCCTGGCCTTGGTGTAGAAAGAGACGATGTTCTTTGCTGCGTCAGCATCTCGTTGCCAGTCGAGCGTCTGGAGATAGTTGGCGGCCAAGACGTATATGTCTCGCTGCCGGGACACGCTGGCGAAGAACACTATCTTGCGTGTATCGCCGGACTTCAGGAGCGCCCTCATAGCCTGCACCTTATCGCCTGCCTGGGTGAACTTCTTGGCTGCCAGGTGGTAGTTGTCCTGCTTGAAGCAGCACTCTGCAATTTTCTTGAGGACTCCACGTAGCTTGGCCTTGTCGTCGGTGGCGATTTCCTCAATAAGCCTGTCGGAAGGAGACGTACAAGTGAGACTTGTTGTTGGGCGAGTTGGTTACCATCACATGATAACACAAACTTAGCAAGGACACGTGAAAAAAAAGTATAAAGCTGCAGAAACGTTGGACACTAAACTTCGACTCTTCATTTGAAAGAACAATCCACAACATTAGAACTGTTTGCGCATGCGCGCATACCGACAAAAAGACTCTCACACTGGCATATCGAAGAACTGCATCTCATTTTGGAAAAGTGAAACAACTGATACAACTTGTGCTTCTCTTCTTAATGAGAATCACCTCCACATACTCTTGCACTGATGTGTCGTTGCTCCTGCCTTAATTTGACAAAGGCTTGACAATGCGCTAGTACACAGTAGACTGAATTGAATTATCCGCCATAGTCTCTCATGGATGTATGGTCATAGTTAGTACCTTTAACTCCAGACATCATATATCATCATAAATGTCACACACGCAGAGGTTCCATTACTGCTCCTCGGACCCTAATTTTCTTTCTCATTGTGCGCGATAACTGAGGCGCACACCGATGGCGTCGGTGTATAGTATGCCACCGAAATGGGCTGTTGTTATGAGCTCATAACAGTTTCGCGGTGATACACATGGGCTTCGACGTAGCACTTTTGCAGATGCTATAGATTTAGGAGTGCTATTACGTTAATTGGTGTATAATTTCTCGTTCATAATAATTTTTCACACTCAACATACGTGAGCACCGGCGCAAGCCTGGGCGAGAGCAGCAACTGCTATATAAATGTGTAGTGGAGTTCTGTCATACTTTGGCAGGTAGTACTAGTAAATATCTGGGTTTGTGGTAGGTTTTCCAGCCTGTTAAGGAAAGCCAGACGAGGGAATACCAGCATGGATTCGCGTGGCTGAAAATGAGCTCAAGCGCGAGAGACATAGGGTATGTTTGCGTAATGAAAGATGGCGGGAGGGGGAAGTGGGTGGGGGATGTTCGGAGGTTGCACCCCCCATAAGTTATAGGGCTCATTTTGCAATGAGATATTGTCACCGAGCTGGCAAATAGCTGCCCTCTCTGTTCTCACAACTTCTCTTGTAGAGAACAATGTTATTGTACTGTACATTTTTCATATATGTACGGGAACAACAGAGCCCCTGCTTCAACACTTTGCTGAAAACCGAAGGTTGGTGGGTGACTCTGTTTTGACCTCTTTAGTTTATTTATTTATTTATTTATTTTTACATACTGCAACCCGTAAGGGCTATGGCAGGAGTGGGTAACAGGCCGGTACAAAACAAACATGGTGTAATACTTTGCGAAGGAAAGCAAAATACAAAGTGGCAATACATGGCATCACATGGTGGCATAATGAAGACATGGTGGCAAGGAAGAGAACACAGTAAACAGTGAAACGGAAAAAGAAAAACGGTCAAAGGGTATTTATGGATAACAAGAATTCATTTAAGGGCAAAGAACGTATGTCACCGGATAAGTTATTTCAAAGTTCGACAGTTCGTGGAAAGAAGCTAAATTTAAACGTGTTAGTACGGGCGTAGAATGGTGTCATATTCAAAAGATGGTATCGGCGTGTTGAAGAAGGTCTGGAACATGTTAAGTAGAGATCTTTTGAAAGTTTGCACGTCGAATAAATTATAGAATGTAATAACTTGAGAGACTCAATGTTCCTTCGCGATGAAAGTAGAGATAGGTTCAAAGATGGTAATGCTGTCGTAAGTAACCAGACCACTGAAGCCCGTAGCACAAAACTTGAAAAAAAAAAACACACACACACAACTAAAACAATACATACAATGTATTCAAGCAACTCACCAAAATAGGAACCTACAATCTATTATGCAGAAAGGAATTCCCTTCCAAAAACACAACGACGCAAGTCGAAAAATTCTGCAACAGCGCCCACCTGCCATTCGATCATCACCACCACAGAAATGCCCTCGGCTATCCGAGGCGCCAGCGAAACCACTGCTCTCAGAGACCGACCGTTGGAGAGAGTTAACCCAATGCATTAAACAGTTATAGTATAACCGACTTAGCGAAATAGCCACATTAAAATGCCAAAGGAACCGTATACGTTTACCTTACGCACGCCATTTTCAGATTTGGCGTTACCATGTTTACTTACGTAGTCCACGTAAACTTATTCAGCGGTTTTGGACGCCCGTGTCGAATTGAAGTTGCTGTTGAGGGACTAACTTTGTTCTCGGAAAATGACTTTCTGCAGGTTGCTTCGATGACCGAGCATTACGGTTGACTTTGCGGAATTTTCAAGATCACTCTTCAAGATTTCGAACGTGCCTAGGCCTAAGAGGACGATCGGTGTAAACAAATCTGTGACATATAAATTGGAACTTTCGGTGTGTCTCATATTGTGACGATAGAAAGCGTTTATTTACAAGATGGGCATGTCAGAAGTGAAGCTTACTGAAGCAGAGTTCACGGCCCAGTTCAGCCTCGCTCTCCTGAACGTCGAATCTTGGCTAGCCCGTTTCACTTCACGGTTGGCAGACGATGCCCACTGGACGAGTTGCTGGTGCAAGGCGCGTAATGTGTGTCAGCTGTGTTTTCATAGAGCGGCGACCATTGCGTGCGACGCTGGAGATTATGTGTCATTGTGAGCAACAAGAACTCGAACACGCGAATGGCCTCAAAACCGACATTATTCATTTTGCGTTAGGTGACACCACAGCTTGTGCATGTAAACGCTCTCACATTATCCCGCTTATACGCCCTGAGTACGCTGTCCGGAACGAACTTTTGTGGCAATGCAATGACAATCCCTGAACCTCTATTCCACTAATTTCTTTTGACAAAGCGGGAATATCCAGCCCCTACATTTTGTGCATATATAGGGAGCTGTGATTTATCTATTTTTGATTTGTTCTTATTTTTTGTGCCCTTCAATTCATTTCCACCGACAGGGTGGCTATAACGGGGAGGTGTGAAAAGCAAGCCGTTTTTTCCTTGCCCGGAAGCACCACCGTGCACGATATCTGTGAGAAACGAAGAAGGGAATCCGGCCCCGATCGTCCGGCTACACCCAAGGTCAAAGGAACAACTGAGCAAGCCAGCACCTGTAGCTCGTACTTGTGCCCGCCGCCCCTTCTTCCTCCTTTATTTGCAACACACTCCCGCGGCCGGGAAACTCGCGGCAATGTTCGGGTGCACAGCAGCAGAGGTTCAGCCGAAGATTTGCGAACAAGATGCGAACGTCTGAAGGCGCGAGGTGTTACACGGAGACGATGGAACGCTTGCCAATGGTGATAAAGCTTGCGGAGGCTGTGGCTTGTTTTGCGGAGGAGGTCGTTCATGCTCGCTGTAGTGTCCAGATGAATTCATGGTCACGTTGTTTGCCATCTGCAGGTCATACTGGTGACTTTCGCACTTCTTTCGTCGCTTGTAGTAGGAAGAGTCAGCTTTCGGCCTGCTTTCGTTGACTCACGAGGCTTCTTGATAATTCGCGTACTTCTTCAAAGTCATGTTAACCAACCGTTGTTGATATTACCTCTGACGCCTCTATAGTAGCTGCGCGATTATGCACTGCTTGACCACTTCGGGTGTCAGGTAGTTCTTGGAATGTTCCTGGCTCACTGGTGCTCCCTCCTGATCTTCATGAAGACTGCAAGATCGACGATGATTTTTCTTCCTCGCTTGAAGAGGATGACGATTACGCTGAAGCATTTCGGTTCCGTCGGATAGTGACGTCACCAAGTGTGGGAATCTCGGCCGCGTTCGGAGGCAGGGGGGTTTGTCTACGTGCTCTGTGGCCAGTAGTGGATTGTCGGCGTCCCTCTCGACATCGTGAGCGATGGCGCACGTCGAGCTGACATTTTCGGGCGTATGAGTCTGACGAATGACGGTGTTTTTGGAGTCATCGTCACAGACATCGCTGCAGGAGTTTTCAGACGACTGGCCCATCTGGTCTCCCTAATCTCGCTTCGTGACGACTGGTCTCGCTTCGCGAACGTCCTCGTTTCCGCCGGTTTCTTGCATGAGGTGCGTGGCGTAGTGCTGGAGCTCTGTCATGTGGCGATTGCACATATTCCAGCCGGCCTCCACTGCTCGGCTGTATATATTGTATATAGTGTTGATCTGTTGTTATAGAGTGTGTACTTGTCGTATTCGGTGGCGTCACACATGGTCATGGAGTGCAAGTACTCAATTGAGCGTGGCTTGTAGCAGGGCTGCTGCTTGCACTTTCGATCGTCGAATCGGTTGGATTTAAGGGGAGATCAACTGGAGAACCTATCGCCAGGATCGGGCTTGAGGCACATGTGGGACGAGAAGTAGGACTACGGGTGTTGCAGTTTAGGTGGCAAGTCCTGGAGGTTCATAGTGCCGTGCTACGGATAGTACATGTGTTCGCCCTCTTGATCTGGGAAGTAGGACTGCCTTGATGAACTGCAGCTCGTACTGCAGGAAACCGGGTCCTACTGGTCGATGGGCAGGGTGTACCCGGGGATTCACTTGGACATCGAGATCTTTATGGCGCTCCTTGTGGACGAGTCTTTGCATAGAAACGCCGTGGATCGCGTGGAAAGCGGCAGGTCTTTCGGCGTACGCTCAAAACTAGTTCGAGTCATGGTTGACATTCATGTCGGCAGGCCACTGGAAGGCGGAGTCGTCGCTTGCTTCGACATTGATGCGGGAAGAGCCCTGAGGCTGGTCGAAAGCGAAGTCGCGGCCTGCCGCGACGTCGAGACGAGAGGATCTCTGCGTGAAGCCTCTTGCGCATATCTTTCAGAAGAAGACAGACGTTCAGAGCATTCCTGGACAATATGTTCGGGAGAGGTGCACAGATCGCAGGGCTGCAAATACGGAGGTCGAAGTTCTGTTGACAGCAGAGGGTAAGGGTGACTGACGGGTCGGCATGTCTCGCTGTGGAAGCCTGCGGCTGGTAGATATTGGTTCCTGGAGACCGCTTTGCTCCGCTATCTCTACTTGTACTTTCATGAAGCTCAGCAGGTCTTTCACTTGTGACCGGGCTTCCTGGGATGCTGTGGCG